CGGGCCGGACCCGGGTTTGACCGAGCCGGTTCCGGGCCGAAACCAGCCCGTGGCCATGTCTACTTAGGGCCATGAGCTGGCAATGGATGCTGGTCATGCACAATTCTTTCCTCTCCATCTTGCCCTGGCTCTAATCTTGCAGCCAGATGGAACTTTCCGTCAAGCAATCGGCAATGTTGGGGGTGAAGCAGCCGTGAAAGCGGTGGGGAGAGTGTTTAACCAAGCTTTGAAGGAACTTCCTTCTCCAAGCTCACCTCCTGATGAGATACCTGCAAGCATTGACCTAATAAAAGCAACCAGGCGTGCCCAAGCCGCCCAAAAATCTCGTGGGGACAGCCACTTGGCTGTGGATCAGTTGATAATTGGCCTTCTTGGGGATTCACAAATTCGGGGTCTGCTTAAAGATGCTGGGGTTGATAGATCAAGAGTGAAATTAGAGCTCGAGAAGATTTGTGGGAAAGAAAGGAAGAAGAGCACTTCTGGTGACACTACCATCCAAACATTGAAGACATATGGAAGGGACTTAGTGGAGCAGGCTGGTAAACTTGACGCAGTTATTGGGCGAGATGAGGAGACAAGTAGGGTTGTAAGGATCTTGTCCATGAGGAATAAAAACAATCCAGTTCTTATTGGAGAGCCAGGTGTGGGCAAAACTGCTGTTGTGGAAGGCTTGGCTAAGAGAATAGCGAGAGGAGATGTGCCCAGTAACCTTGCTGATGTTAGGCTTATTGCGTTGGATATGGGTGCCTTGGTAGCTGGAACGAAATATAGAGGAGAATTTGAGAAGCGATTGGAGGCAATCTTGAAAGAGGTTGAGCAGGCCGAAGGAAGAGTGATACTGTTCCTTGATGAAATTCACCTTGTTCTTTGGGTGCCTTGGTAGCTGGAACGAAATATAGAGGAGAATTTGAGAAGCGATTGGAGGCAATCTTGAAAGAGGTTGAGCAGGCCGAAGGAAGAGTGATACTGTTCCTTGATGAAATTCACCTTGTTCTTGGTGCTGGGCGTACGGAAGGGTCCATGGACGCGGCGAATTTGTTTAAAGCCATGCTCGCTAGAGGACAGTTGTGATGTATTGGCGCTACTACACTTGAGGAATATAGGAAGCATGTAGAGAAAGATGCGGCATTTGAAAGAAGGTTTCAGTGGGTTTACGTGGCAGAACCTAGTGTGGCTGATACAATAAGCATCTTGAGAGGATTGAAGGAGGGAAATGAAGCGCATCATGCTGTTCAAATTCAAGATCGGGCTCTCGTTGTTGCTGCTCAGCTGTCCAGCAGATACATAACCAGTAAGTCTTATACCGGTCGATTTAGCATTTCTGAAAGTTCTTTATCTTGATGTGATTCTTAAGGTAACTTACTATTTATGATTTATTCTAATGTAGGTCGTCGTCTGCCTGACAAAGCGATTGATTTAGTTGATGAAGCTTGTGCAAATGTGAGGGTTCGGCTGGACAGCACACCAGAAGAGATCGATAATCTTGATCGGAAGAGAATGCAACTAGAAGTTGAACTTCATGCACTAAAAAAAGAGAAGGATAAAGCTAGTAAAGCTCGCTTAGTTAAGGTAAGTCTGAGGCTGAACAATCAGCTGAAAAACTCTCCTATGCTTATTTTGCTTATTGAAATCTTTCATTTAATATTTGTTCGTACATTTCATTTTCTTGTAGGTTCGTAAGGAGTTGATTGACTTGAGGGACAAGCTTCGACCACTGAAGCTGAAGTACAGGAAGGAAAAAGAAAGGATTGATGAACTCAGGCGACTGAAGAGGAAGCGGGAAGAGCTCTTGCTTGCGTCGCAAGAGCACAAAGCCAATAAAGCTCGCCCAGTTGAGGTAAGTCTGTGGCTGAAGAATCAGCTGAAAAACTCTATTATGCTTATTTTGCTTATTGAAATCTTTCATTTAACATTTGTTCTAATATTTTATTTACTTGTAGGTTCGTAGAAAGTGGCCTGTCTTGGGAAAAAAGTTTTGGCCACTGAAGAAGTGCCGGAAGGAAAAGGAAAGGGTGGATGAGCTCTTGTTACAAGAGCTAGGCTGAGAGTAGACCGGCCGATGTGCAAGTAGCCATTGCGCAGCAGGAAGGAAATACTGAGGAGAACTTAATGTTGACCGAGACTGTAGGACCAGAACACATTGCCGAGGTCGTGAGCCGCTGGACTGGCATTCCTATCACGAGGCTCGGCCAGAACGAGAAAGAGATATTAGTTGGACTGGCTGAAAGGCTGCATCAGAGAGTAGTAGGGCAAGATCAAGCAGTCGCGCAGTTGTGGACGCTGTATTGAGGTCAAGGGCTTGTTTAGGAAGACTACAACAACCAACTGGCTCGTTCTTATTCTTGGGTCCGACCGGGGTTGGCAAGACAGAGCTCGCCAAGGCCCTTGCTGAGCAGCTCTTTGACGATGAAAATCTTCTAATCCGAATTGATATGTCGGAGTATATGGAGCAGCATTCTGTGTCAAGATTAATCGGTGCCCCTCCTGGGTAAGTAGTTCTTTAAGGTGCGTTTGTTTTGCGGAAAATGGACCATTTCTGGAAAATACTTTTCAAGAAATCATTTTCCAGGAAAATGAGTTTATTTTTCGGTGTTTGACTAAAATCTAAAAAATACTTGGAAAGTATTTTTAGTTATTTGTTAAGGAAAATCTGATGGTGAAAATTATCAAAAAATTTTGTATTTTTTAAATTATTTGTTATTTTTAAATTATTTTTATTAAGAAAAGAAAATATATGAATGTTTTCCTTCTTAGAATGAAAAGAAAAGAAAAGAAAAAATATTAACAAATTCAAGATGAGCAATTCCGGAAAGTGTTTTCACCTTTTTAAATTAGGAAATTCACTTTTCTAGTTTTATTCATGAATGTTTTCCTTAACCAGAAAATGCTTTTAGTTGACTTACCATTCTTGGCGAACCAAATGGGTGTAAGTCTAGAAAATGAATTTCCGGAAAACACTTTCCCTCAAACAAACGCACCCTTAGTTTGTGGTTCCGCTTTGTATAGCATGCATGCTGCAAATTTTTGTGGCAGAATCTGATCCTTGTCTTCTCTGTTGTAATTTTCAGATATGTTGGACATGAACAAAGTGGGCTACTAACCGAGGCTGTGAGGTGGAGACCGTACAGTGTTGTGTTATTCGATGAAGTGGAGGAAGCGCACAAAGCTGTTTCCAATGTGCTCCTCCAGGTTCTTGATGATGGCAGACTAACTGATGGCCAAGGCCGAACGGTTGACTTTAAAAATACCATAATCATCATGACCTCGAACCTTGGAGCCGAGCACCTTCTATCAGGCCTGGAGGGCAAATGCTTGATGCAAGTTGCCCGTGATCGAGTCATGAAGGAGGTAAGGCCTCAGTTTCCATTTTGTAAATCTGTCAAGCCCTGTAATTCTTACTGGGTCGAGACTGAGAACACAAACATATGTTTCCAATGGAGCAGGTGGGGAGGCACTTTAGGCCAGAGTTGCTGAATCCGCCCGATGAGATTGTGGTATTTGATCCTCTCTCGCATGAGCAACTGAGGAAGGTAGCTGGACTACAAATGAAGGATGTTGCAACTAGATTGGCTGATCAAGGCATTACTTTGAATTTCACCGATGTGGCTTTGGACTGTGTCTTAGCAGGGAGTTATGATCCGGTAGGTTTTCAGTATGTGTGTCTGGTTCTCTATTTACTTTGTGGGTCTGTCAGGAATCATATCACGGGCTTTACAGGCTTATGGTGCTCGGCCGAGCAGGAGATGGCTCGAGAAGAAGGTGGTGACCAAGCTCTCGAAAATGATCGTGATGGATGAGATAGACGAGGACTCGACCGTCCACATCGATGCAGGGCCCAATAAGCAAGATCTTGTCTATCGAGTGGAGAAGAACGGAAGCAATGAAGAAGATGAAGTAGAAATTGAACATGAAGCTTTGATGTATGCACATAGGAGCAAGACCTAAGAGAGCTATAGGTTCTACTGTAAAGCTTTATTTTTTTGGCTTGAACTTTCTGTACTATAAAAGAGCATCAATTTTAGGTTGGGCAGTGGTCGGAACTTTGTCTGTCTCATAAAAATGTACTAATTTTAAATCGGTTTTTAATTGTTACCCAAATTATTTTTTTCCTTATAAAGAAGTACTTGCTTTCAGTCAGTACCTAAATTCGACCTCTGTTAAGTCGGGAAAGAAATATACACGTGGAATGATATGTATGATCTTGAATGGAATTATTGGATGGAAACTTGACGGGGATCAAGTTCCGATCAGAAGTCAATGCTTTTTTATAGAAAATACGGTTGTACATTTTCAAACCTCAATGTTCTTAATGTGCGTTAAAAAACTTTCTTTCTGTCTTGGGGCTGTTACTCAAGTGTTTCGGGGACATTTGTCAGTAAATTCTTTCATGTTTTACTTGGAATGGCCGGACATGATTGGGAGTGATAAAAGCTCTTGGCTTGTACTTTTGGATAACGAAATTGATTTGACATAATTATAATAATTTTTTTTTACCAATATAAAATAAAGAGTGAGAGATCCAACCAAATTTTGACGATATATGTAACCGATAAACAAACTGTAAAAAGTACAGTTACTTCCACAAGAAGACGTGATAAAGATTTTCTTCGTTTGCTTCAAAATTAGAAAATATTATAACTTGTTAAGAGCAACTTTAACTCTCTTCTTAAAATAAAACAAAATTTATTTTAAATTTTAACCGTAGGTGATTGGACATAACAAAATTTCGAAATCTTTCGTGTCAAGGAAAAGTTATTTATGTAATTTTACATAATTTGATCATGGATGATCTGTCAAGCAGATGAACAAGATGAATTTGAAGAAGTCGTTTTCATTTCCATCCCTCCTTTATTTTTCTCGGACAAAAAGCATTAGCACGTAGGTGGAAGTCAAATGAAATTCTCCAAGATAAACAGCAAGAAAACAACTGGAAAAAAAAAAGTTGAAAAAAAAAATAAAAAAGAAAAAGAAAAACAGGAGAAGCTGCATGATTAAGAGAGAGAGAGAGGAGAGAGAAACGGATAGCATCGCACAGTCGATGCAGAGGAAGACGACAATGGCGCGACGCAATCCGCAAACCCTAATCGACTGAAATTGGCGCAAGCCTTCTTCCCAAATTCGACCCTTCTCTCTCTCCCTCTCTCTCTCTCTCAATCTAGGGTTCTTCCCCCCGGGAATCGCGAAATGCCATCGATTCTGGACCCGAGCACCCATCCTTCGCAGTCGCCCCCGCCCCTGCCTCCCGCCCAGGACCAGAACGCCACCTCCCCACCCGACTTCAGCCCCGTCTGCCCCGGCCTCTTCTACGACGCCGTCCTGGTCGTCCCCGCCGTCGTGTTCGTGCTCTTCCTGGCGTTCCACGCGAAGAGGAACTTGAGGAGGCTGCTCCATGGGCGGTCTCATGTCAAAATCTCCTATTACGCCCTCCTCTGGCTGGTGTCTCTGCTCAACCTCGCTTGGTGCTCGCTTCAGGTGCCTTCTTTGTCTGCTCGTCGGACGGACTCGTTCGAGCTCTACTTTTTTTGGTCTTTCGGTTCATCTGACTGATTGACGGGGAAAGATACATCCAAGATACATCCTTGGAATGTATTCTTTTCTTATCTGTAGTGCCCCAAGCAATTTTATTGTTTTCGGTTCGTTTTCTCGAGCGGGTGGCTGATTTCTGTGCTCCACGGGAGCTCTTGTTAATGTTCTTACTTCTGAAAATTATGCTGAAACAAACAGGCTTGGCAATGCACTCCTGGAAGCGAGACCGGCTGGAACATCTTATCGCTGTTTACCAAATCGGGGCTGCTATGTATGGAGATCAGCTTGGTAGCTTTCCTGCTCCAAGGAAATTACGCCAACGGATTGGAAGCTTTGTCGCGAACTTTCCTGGTCACGGGGATCATCGTTGGTGTCGATATTCTCCTGAAGGTATCAGTTCTTCAATGGCAATCCGTGTATGCATGGTTATCTGTGGATGCTGGGATTTCCAATGGATCGTGTAATTTATAAGGCTGGTAACTTTTGTCATACTCACATGGCGAATTCCATTTTCTGGATCATGTTTAAGTAATCAGTCAACTACTTGACCTGATAAGCGATGAACGACACTTCGTATTCAAGAGAAAAATGATCCTGTTTCTTCATATTATTCCGGCATTGTGCATAAGCAATATGCTTTGTTTAATGGCTTCCTCTTTGAGCTCAATGTTTGATGGCTTGGCTGCCTTGGGAGTTAGAACATGGTACTGGATATGCTGACCCTACTGCAATGCGCAATGTGCATTGGAGTTTTAACTTTTCCTGGTCTATTGTTTACTGATGCTACTTGTGTTACATCTATGGTTTGTACACTTCAGTCCAGGTATATGTTAGCATTGAAACTTCTAACAGGCTGTGAATAAGTCAACGTGGTAATCACAATGGTGGAAATTAGCAAATTCTCCATCCTTTTCCCCCGCAAATTTCTTTCGGAATTTATCGTTCTGGGTAGACGAAGAGCAACGGACATAGAAATACAGCTGATGGGTTGTAGGTTTACTGTCAATGTTTTAATGTGAGATCTGGATGTTTCCTAAATATGACCTTTTTTGTCGGCATGATTAAAAGACTAAGATTACGAGTGAGTTCAAATTTAATGAAGCGGTTGGCGGACCATATTGTAAATTGATACTGTGGATCTGTCGGTGTGGATCTCTTATATGTTAGCAAAACACTCGGATTGAGCTGATTCAAAGGCCTTGGGCGTGCATTTTCGGTATTGTGCTACAGTTCTTCTAGCATAGTTCTTATCAAGAGTCTCAGATGAAAGGCTCAAGAAAGTGAACTTTTGTTTTTCATTGTTTCTCTTGTGAAGTGAGTAACAGGCCCAAAATGGGAAAGTTGCTATTTTCTCTCTTCTTCTCAGTTTTACTGCTGTTTACAACACATGCTACTCTAAAGCAGGCTATTTATGCATCTCTGCTGAAGCATTCTGCTTACATGGTTGGATTAGCCTCCGGTACTTTCGACACATTGAGTAATCATCTAAGCACTTCTTTTTGTGTATAATCCTTTCAGGCTGTTTATGTATTTGGGTTCCGGGTGCCGCTGTTCTTCGATGTTGGAAGTACGCATAGAGTGAAATGGGCATTGTGGAGCATCCATGAAATAGTTATAACTGCAGTTTATTCCTTTGTGCTGTTCATAAGATTCTCAAAATGGGCTGAGGAGTTGCCTCGTAAGTACCAATCACATCTCACGTTCATCCCTAATCCATGAAAAGGTGGTGACTGACACGTAGTATTTCCCCTGCAGCCAGACCAACATTCTACAGATACATTGTTGTCATGTTTGTCATCAATTCAGTTGCTCTACTAGCTTGTATGCTTGCTGGAATTGGAGCTAGCTTTGGCACTTGGTATCTCCAGGCTGATACTTTCATTTTGAGTGCTTTGTCTACTCCTAAATGAATAGACAAATCAAGTATTTCTCCTCTCTATGCAGGTTGTACAGTTTGATAGTGATCTGCTATCATGCGCTATATCTTCCCTTTCTCTATGTGATTTTTCTTGCCGACTTTTTCAAGGTGATTATTGATTACCATTTGTTACATATTTTAATAATTCCATCTTGACGTATGGTTTGCCCGATTGAATTTTGACTTTTGAGCTTTGAAATTTGATGCTTTCAGGAGGAAGATTTCCTTTTGGACAATGCATACTACTCGGAAATGAAGGACGCTGGGTTCTTTGATGCTGACTGGGATTAATAGAGATGCTGGAATATCTATAGATGTATTATACACTGTAGATTAATGTATATGATTCAGGCGCACCAACATTTGGAATGAAAACGTGAAGCGAAAATTGTAAAGAGGGAATTGAGATGTCGGTGCAATTTTTTCTTTCCCTTCTTACGTGTCGATGATTTCATCGCGAATTCTTTGCCAAAGAAGACCAGTGAAAGGTTCTTAAATGCTAAATTCCGGAAAAAAAATCGAATGGAAGAATGGCGATAAGTCGGTGAATATTTGTCCCGACCGGATAGGACCATGAAATTGGGCTTCAAGAAGTCCTAACTAGTTACATTTATCTGCACATGACAACATTAATCTAAGGATGATTTGGTCCTTTCATTAATGAAAAAGTACACATTTCATTGATACACTTGTGTGTGTGTGTTTTTTTTTTTTTTTTATATTTCCAACGTGGTCTTTAAATTTATAATTTGTGGAGCAAGTCATTAAACTTACGGAATCTGTTAATCAAGTCCATACGCGTCAAGATCCAACAAATTGAAGTTGATGTATTTGTTCAAAATTACAATGTGAAAAAGACCGGTATGACAATATGTGATCGATTTGACTAAATAAACTGCACCAACACTAATACTAGAAAAAAAAGCGGAAAGATTATCATTAGCTTGTCATTCCACAATACTTTAGTGATTACCATTTGTCACATCTTTTATCATTCCATCTCAATATATGGTTTGTACATTCGAATTTTGACTTTTGAACTGTGAAATTTGATACTGTCAGAAGGAAGATTTCCTTATGGACAATGCATACTACTTGGAAATGAACATGCTGGGTTTTTTGTGCTGACTGAGATTAATAGAGATGTTGGAATATCTAGAGTTGTCTACACCGTAGACAAGTCTGGCACGAGAACAATTGGAATGAACACGTGATAAGAAAATTGTAGAGGGAATTGTGATGCAGGTGCAGAATGTATTTTTTCTATCATACCTGTTGATGTCTCATGATGTATTATTTGCCAAAGAAAGACCACTGGAAGGTTATTAAATGCTAAATGCTGGAAAAATTCAAATGGAAGAATGGCCAGAAGTCGGTGAATCATATCACTTTCATGCTTTCCCCAAGAATGTGACTATGACCCGCACATGGCTATACAGCTAGTTGGTGTTTGCAAACTTAACTAGGGACTACTTGGGATGATTAGAGTTCGCTCGGCAATTGGGTTCCTATAAAATTATCTCGAAACTGGATTCATAAGTATTAATTGATATCACTGGGCTCAATCTTTTTGGAAATTTTAAATTTGATGTAATATGGACTTTTTTGGAATTTAGAATTTGACATATTTACTCTCGCATATCTACTCGGTTTTCCTCGATGGAATTCTTCTATTTTCAAAATAAAAAAAAAGGTGAAAAAGCTGTCAAATTATTTCAAACAAGAGAAAGATAGCTAATGTTCACGAAAAAGGGTTTGTATGGGCAGTTCAGCTTCTGAACAGCGACATGTAAAGAAACCTAATGGCTATTTGTTTCTCGAAACTATCTCCAATGGGAAAATTGAAGATGTCTATATAAGAGAATATGATTGAAGCCAAAATGGTTAGACGAGCAATACAAAGAAAAGTGTGAAAGTTCAATGCCGTACTCTAAGCTGATATTATTTCATTCTCTTGAGATTTCCAATGTAGTGTTCTTGTTGCATTGTAATCGTGAGAAAGATTAAGTGTACAAGAGTGATAGAAGCAACCGAGTCTTAATAGTGTGATCTAATCATCTGATAGGATAAGTACTTGCCGATTGTAACTTGTTATGCAGATTACCAGTGCAATCCAGCCCGATTTGTAGCTGTTAGTGTGAGTAGTGGACGTAGGCTAGGTAATAAAGCCGAACCACTATAACTTGCTTTGTGCTCTTATTCATTTCACTTTATCTACTCTAGCACATAAGCACCTCGCGATATTTGATATATCTGCTAAACCTGATTTTTATAGTAGTTGATGATTTCTACAAAATCGTCAAAATTTATTAAAATAGCCTATTCACCACCATTTAGATTGTATTGTTAGCCCCAACAAGTTGCATGTGGCAAATCCCAATAATTCGCCTCATCAATTCGGTTTAGAGAACATGAGCAATGTGAACACAATGCCTTGAACGGGTCGATGAATTCGAGCTCCGTGGGGAACAATTCCCACAATTCGCTTATTCTAGAGGAGAACGTCTCCTTCGGGAGCTTTGAGGAGGCTTCCGGCAGTTTGATAATATAGAGTTTCCGCGACGCAGACGACCTCCACTCCTTCACATTCGGGTACATTCACTATTAGTGAGGCGTCGTCGAGCAAATGGTGAGAGATGATATTCGGTCTAAGATGATCACCATTCAGTCAATGTTTTTGAGATGCTGCTTGGTTATAAGTTGAGAAGAAAACCCTAAGGCTACGTTTGGTAGTCGGGATAAAATTCGGAATAGGATATAGGATAAAATTTATCCTATCCGTGTTTCATGTCTGCCAAAAATAGGATAAAGTTGGATATAGGAGGGATATAGCCTAGATAAAATTATTCCATGGGGGAGGTGGGATAAATGTGGATATGATTCTAATATCCATAATATAAAAGTTATTTTTCTCAAATAACAAACTTGCTAAATTAATAAAACTAAAATAATATTTGAATTTTAATATTAAAAATTTAAAATAACAAAGAAATAAAATTCTTTTTTATTTATTCTTATTTTTATTTATATATTCAAATTTCTTTCTATTTTATGATATAAATTTCATACATATTTAAACAAATACATTTAGTATTTATATTTATTACATATTTTAGGTATATTTGTATAGTTTATTATTTAATAAAATTTTATTAGAGAATGATGGAAGGGGAAAAAAGAAATAAAATGAAAATAATTAAAAAAGAGAGGGAAAAATAATAAAAAAAATAAGCAAATAAAAATGAAGTAGGTAAGAGTGTCGTGAGAAATTTTTATCATTTTCGTTTGTGCAATTTTTAAATTTATTTACACTGATATGACATTCATAGCAAATAATGTACATAGTAATATGTGAAAATATTCGGCTTTATTACTGCAATTTACCAAACAGTAGATAGGATATAATAAATCTCTTGAATTTCATATCCTATTCTAGCTAGAAATCCAAACAACCAAACGCAGCCTAAAATTCGGGCAAAGTTGGAAACCCTAATTAAAGCTATCAACTGCTGTTTGTCCTTGTTCAACATGATCCAACAATATTCAGTAGAACAAAAAAGGAAAGGTAGATTTTCTAATTGATGGACCTAAATTCTGGACCTAGGAAAAAATACTGTTTTGTAGGTTAACTTTGGATGAGACATTCCCATTCCTACACACTGAAAGTTTTAAGGATAATCTCAATGGTCTTCTTTGGAACTAAATGAAAAGAGGTACCTTTCATGGCCTTGAACAATCAGAGAGGCCTTGAGAAAAGGTGATTTTCGAGGCATATCTAGCACAAATCTCTCCGGATGTAATTTTGAAACTCTTGGATAATTTGTCACTTTGCTATATATCTTACCTCACTCACTCCCTCTATACAATAGTCTGGTGTTATCAGATTTGATCAAATTTTCCTTTTACATTGACAAAGAACAGCATGCCATTAAGGCCACAACATATTGCAAAGGATGGTCGATTAAGGGAAAAAGTAGTGGATATCTAAGTTTCATTAACGGATGGGTGTAATAACTAGAAACATCAGTTTTCAGAACAACACACATTGATTTGCAAGAGTGGATATTCTTTCTTGATCATGAAAGCACCGATTTAGCATTTAATGTCCCTTTCTTTTTGGATTTCGAAGAAAACAAATATTGGTGCTTGTTTTTTGTTACCGTGAGAGGTCCAGTAACATCTGAATGCCCTAGGATTGAGTAAAATTTTTTGAGGAAATATTGTGAAAAACCACTCTTTTTCAGGCATTGTTGTGAATATATATAGCTTTTCTAGATATAGTAGTATAGCTATAGGTAATCTTTCTCATGACAAGCAATTAATGCAATGCCGTGCATGGATTCTCCTAAAGACATAAAACCTCTATTTATCCAGTGAATTGCCATTTGCATGGTGCTCAATGGTTTTCTTGGTTTATTGCGAAGGGCAAAACAATTTCTAAGACATCCTTTTTCTTTTTATGATATGTTTCAGGTGTGCTCTCATCTTTTTGGGAAGTAATAAGCGCAAAACAATTTCAAGAAGATGACACTACCACCAAATTCACAAAGGTGGCTCTGATACCAAGATAAGAATAATGAAGCGGAAGAAAGAAAATGTGGAATTTGTGTATATTTCGATCTATTTTGAAGAAGGATACATAAGCCTATTTATAGGCTATATTATATGATTACTTAAGGTAATAAGATAAATATAATATCAATATCAATTAGGGAGATGCATAATCAAAGGAGATATATGCAAAATCCTGAAAGATATGAAAAATTAAGCAAATCTTGATGATCCTGTTGGAATTCATCTAACCATTCATCAAAGCTTAATAATCCTTGGGAAGAAACTTTGATCTTCAGCGACGGGTCTGACCACACCTTTTTTTGTCCAGGGACTGATGAGGACTACATGCTCAATTGTCTCGGGCTTTTGTTTGCGGAGGCTACAGAGAGGATCACGTAAAATTTCTCTCCTGCGCAAGTTTTCCCACTCCATAAGAAAATTTGATATGTGACTGCCAAATCTTTATTCATAGTTTCAGAATCATTCGTTTAGGTTTATGTGATTGGCGTCTAGGTTTTGTTCATTGTGGAGCGATTTTCATGGCATTGTCTCTATTTGTTAGTGCGTCGTGTCTGCGGTTTTTGGTAGCAAATCACAAAAGGTGTTCTTTAGAGAGAGTGTTCCGCTTATGATTGGACTGGGATTGGGTTAGATCGTCTGCTGGAATCTTCTTAGAGGGAAACTGGATTGCTGATTGCACAATGTGATGGTTGAATGCTATTGATTGACTCGTTCTCTGTGCATGTACAAAGTGAATCCTGACGGGTTCACTCGCCAGACAAAGGAGGCTCTTGCAGGGGCCCATGAGCTGGCAATGCGTGCCGGTCATGCGCAGTTTACTCCTCTCCATCTTGCCGCGGCTCTACTTTCGGAGCCACCTGGGATTTTCCATCGAGCGATCAACAATGTTGGGGTTGAAGAAGCCGCAAAAGCAGCAGAGAGAGCGTTTAACCAAGCTTTGAAGAAACTTCCTTCTCAGAGCCCACCTCCCGGTGAGATACCCGCAAGCCCTAGCCTAAAAAAAGTAATCGGGCACTCCCAAGAGCCTCGTGACGACATCTACTTGGCGGTAGATCAGTTGATAATTGGCCTTCTCGAGGATTCACAAATTGGGGATCTGCTCAAGGAAGCTGGGGTTGCTACTGCAAGAGTGAAATCGGAGCTCAAGAGGCTTGCTAGGAAAGAAAGGAAGAAGGTGGGGAGTGCATTGGATGACATTTTCTTTCCGGCATTGAAGACATATGGAAGGGATCTCGCGGAGCATGCTGGTAAAATTGACCCTGTTATTGGGCGAGATGAGGAGATAAAGAAGGTTGTAGGGATCCTGTCGAAGAGGACTAAGAACAATGCAGTTCTTATTGGACAGCCATGTTTGGACAATACGGCTATTGTGCAAGGCGTAGCTGAGAGAATAGCGAGAGGAGATGTGCCCAGCAACCTTGGGGGTGTTAGGCTTATTGCGTTGGATATGCATGATTTAATACTTGGAGTCAAATATGGACGGATATTTAAGGAGCGATTGGAGGTGGTCTTGAAGGACGTTGCGCGGGCCAGAGGAAAAGTGATAGTGTTTATTGATGAAATTCACCTTGTTCTTGATGCTTGGCAACCACCATGGACCGTTGCGGCCAATTTGTTGAAACCCATGCTCGCCAAGGGGCAACTTCGATGTATTGGCGCTATGACATTTGAGAAATACAGGAAGTGTGTAGAGAAAGACGCGGCACTTCTTAGTAGGTTCCGACAGGTCCATGTGGCAGAACCTAGTGTGCCTGATACTATAAGCAGAGGATTAAAGGACAGACATGAACGGCACCTTGGTGTTCGAATTCGTGATTGGGGTCTTGTTGCCGCGCATCTATGCAGCAAATACATAACTGGTAAGTCTTGTACCCGGTCGATTTAGTAGTTTCGAATGTTCTTTGTCTTGCATTAGGAGATGTGGTTGTGGAGGTAACTAATTATCTATAATATATTCTAATGTAGGTTGTCATCTGTCTCACAAAGGGGTGGATAGCCAGCCAGGTGGGATCGATAATCTCATGCGGTGGAGAATGCAACTAGAAGAAGCCAGTCAAGCCCACCTAGTTGAGGTAGTCTGATTCTGAAGAATCAGCTGAAAAACTCTCTCATGCTTATTCTCCTTATCGAAATGTCCCATTTAATATTTGTTCAAACATTCCATTTACTCGAAGGTTCGTGAAGAGTTGGATAACTTGAGGGAGAAACGTGAGCCACTAATGAGGAAGTACAAGAAGGAAAAAGAAAGGATTACCGAGGTGAACTCAATGTTGACTGAGACTGTTGGACCAGAACATGTTCACGAGGTTCTGAGCAGCTGGACTGGCAAACCTGTCTCGAGGCTTGGCCAGAATGAGAAAGAGAGGTTAGTTGGACTGGCTGAAAGGCTGCATCAGAAGGTGGTTGGGCAAGATCAAGCAGTCAGTGCTGTTGCGGAGGCAGTATTGAGGTCAAGAGCTGGGTTGGGAAGACCACAACAAACAACTAGCTCGTTCTTATTCTTGGGTCCGACCGGTGTTGGCAAGACCGAGCTCGCCAAGGCCCTCACTGAGCAGCTCTTTGACGATAAAAATCTTCTAATCCGGATTAATATGTCGGAGTATGTTGAGCAGCATTCTGTGTCAAGATTAATCGGTGCCCCTCCGGGGTAAGTTTTTTAGTTTCTGGATCCGCTTTGTATAAGGTGCGTTCTGCAAATGTTTGTGGCAGAATTTGACCCTTGTCTTCTCCGTTGTAATTCAGTTTTGTTGGGCATGGAGTAGGTGGGCAACTAGCCGAGGCTGTGAGGCGTGGGCCCTACGGTGTTGTGTTATTCGATTGGGTGGAGAACGCACACGTAGCTGTTATGAATAAACTGCTCAAGGTTCTTGATGACGACAGATTAACTGATGGCCAAGGTGTAACGGTTGACTTTAGGAATACCGTAATCATCATGACCTCAAACCTTGGAGCAAAGCATCTACTGTCAGGCGTGATGGGCGAATGCACAATGCAAGTTGCCCACGATCGAGTCATGCAGGAGGTAAGGCATCAGTTTCCACTTTATAAATCTGTGGAGCCTTCTAATTCTGACTGGGTTGATGATGAGAATACTAACATATGTTTTAAGTGGAACAGGTGAGGAGGCACTTTAGGCCCGAGTTGCTGGATCTGTTCGACGAGATCGTAGTGTTTGATCCTCTCTCGCATGAACAACTGAGGAAGGTGGCTAGACTACAAGTGAAGGATGTTGCGAGTAGATTGGCTAAAAGAGGCGTTGCTTTGGCTGTCACTGATGCGGCTTTGGACTTTGTCCTAACAAAGCGTTGTGATCCGGTAGGTTTCACAGTATATAGGTGTGTGGTTCTCTACTTACTTTGTGGGTCCGTCGTGAATCATATTGCCGACCCGTGTCATACCGTCACAGGTTAACGGTGCTTGGCCAATCAGGAGATTGGTGGAGCAGAAGTTGGTGACGAAGCTTTCGCAAATGCTCTTGATGGAGGAGATAGACGAGTACTCGACTGTGTACATTGATGCAGGGCCCAATGGGCAAGATCTTGCGTACCGTGTGGAGAAGAATGGAGGCTTTGTGAATGCCTTCACTTGGCAGAAGTCCGACGAAGATAGAAGAAATCGAAGATGATGATGAGACGTACGAATGAAGGCTTTGAAGTCTGGACATAGGAGTGAGACCTGAGAGATCTATGGATTCTCCTGCAAAGTTTTAATTAGCTGGTTTTATCACGTCGTTTGCCTTAATTGTGACCCCTTTTCCTGATTAATTAGGTAGAATCTGGTATTGTAATGTTTGAAGATAAAGTTGGGAGATTTTCAATCTCCAATTTCGTATGCGACTGTTTCAGTATATTGGCCTGAGACTAAATAATATGGTTGTGAATTTTTAAACTTTAATGCTATTTAATCTGCATTAAAAATTTGTTCTTTCTATCTTTGATTGTTATCAAGTGTTTTCGGGATGCTTCATAATAACCTGAAATGGTTGAACACAACGAAATTGATTTCACTCCCAATTCTTAGGTGGCTGTTGCTGCGAACGTGTGACGTCAACTTAGCTCGGTCAACACATATAGGGGTTTCAGCCCCAAAAAACAAAGAGACTTTTATATCGTGAGCTTTATAATATTATCATTTTTTTTTTATCTTTCATTGCATGCTGTTTCCAATAAAAGAGTTAGGGTTATTTGGAGTTGGTCCCGGCCTAAAAGGTTCTAATATTTTGGAATTATGGAACCAAGAACCGAAACGAGTAGTTTTGGAAGTTCATGTGAAAGATCATGGTTTGATTCTCTGTGTACACAAAATGTTTTTTTTTTCTCTAAAAAAATCTGTAAACTGGACTGCAGAATTGGTTGACGGATGGAACCGCGGGTTTCGGCTTGTAATAGACTTGAGTAGTTAACTGGTTCTCCCTAGAACCGGCCTTAAATCGACCGATTCAATTTGGTTCTCGGGTTGAACCGGATCCTATTCATAGGATTTTGATATTGAAAAATACAAAAATAATATCATTCGGAAACTGCACTTCCTAAAGTTGGTTTTTATTTTGGAATGATCAAAATATGTCCGGTAAAAGTAAAGAAGATGTTGAAAGGAAAAATTATGTCCGGTAAAAGTTTTACCAAATTTGTGCAAAAAATTACATAAATATCGTTTTTTTTTATCTTTCCCAAATTGATGATTCGAAATGCTTCGCAGAACTTCTTGTTAAAAGTGCAAAAATAGAGTTGAGCGGACCTGATCAAAGTTTAGCTAAAATTTTGTAGAAGTTACATAAATATCTTCAAATTTTTTCTCAATTTGATAATTTGAAATGCTATAAAATTACATAAATATCATTTTTTAATATTTTTTCCCAATTTGATGTTTTGAAAATTATGTAATTTTCCCACAAGTTTGGCCAAATTTTAATTGGGTAACTTTTCCGTTCGACATCCCATTAACTAGATTTTTTACGTAGTTGTACATAAGAAATCTTAAAAATTTTCACATCAAATAAAGGACACTTTGAATTATATAATTTATATAATTGAGTCTTGCATAAAGTAGACAAAACGGAGATGAATTTGCATAAAGTACGTAGAATGGATGATGCCACCAAGATTACCTAGTAAGAGGTTTCATAAAAAAAAGAAAATGAAACATCACTATCCTAGCTGACAAGCACGTAATTTGTCTCTTGCTGGGAGTGCTTACCAATCAATAAACTCTAAAGTGTTTGCTCATACGTAGTCCTTGGTGCTTGACATCCAGCACAATTAGGAGTTAGTACTGTCCCTAGCCATTATAGATTCTCGAAGAACAATTGTTCTCTGAAAATCAGCCTGTTGCATGAGGCTAGCAATATTGGGCAACGACTGTCGGCTCGATGGCCTATATGGCCTTTTGCTAGGTCTTCATTGATATGGCTTGCTTCCAGCATCTAGCTTTTCAACTGATTTCAATTTTGTTCTTACCACAAAAGAAACTAGAAGCAAGAACGAGTCAGGAGCTAGTTAACAATTTTCTACAGAAACTATAGTCAGGGATATGAATATACCAAGAATCCGCTTTCGACCATCCCTTACTTGTAGAAGTGCATTCCTCATAGTCGGCAATGTTATACCTGCTACCAGTCAAAGAAAGATGCATACAATTAGCAAACATCACTCTTGCTCCCCTGTTAAAGAATTTTAAGGAGAAAATTATCAAAACAGTCATAAACCTATTGCAATTGTGTCAATTCAGTCCTAAACCTTTTGCATTTGTGCCAATTTAGTCTATTCAGCCAATTTTGGCCTGCCGGTGCTGATGTGGACGCCGGCCGATGCTGACGTGATAATTTTTTAATATTATTTTTTATTTTTTCGAATTTTTTTATTAATTTATTCATTTTTTCTTTTCTTTTCTTTTTCCTTTCCTTTTCTTTTTTTTTTTCCCTTCACCTTCATCTTCAACCTCTGGCCGGTCGCCGGTCCGGCAACCGGCCAGAGGCGGCGGTTGGCGAGGTCGACCTTGCCCGCCCCTGGCGAGGGGTCGTCCTCGCCAGAGCGACGGCGAGGACGACCCCTCGCCAGAGCGACGGCGAGGACGACCCCTCGCCCAGAAACGGCGAGGTTGAGCCTCGGCCGACCTTGCCGGCCCTCGCCTCTGGCCGGTGGTTGAAAAAAAAGAAGAAGGAAAAAAAAAGAGGAAAGGAAAGGAAAAAGAAAAGAAAAAATAAAAAAAATAAATAAAAAATTTCAAAAAAATAAAAATAATATTAAAAAAATGCCACGTCGGCATTGGCCGACCGGCCGGCGTCCACGTCAGCGCCGGCCGGCCAAAATTGGCCGGATGGACTGAATTGGCACAAATGTAAAAGGTTTAGGACTGAATTGACACAAAAAAAAGGTTTAAGACTGAATTGACACAATTGCAATAAGTTTAGGACTGTTTTGGTAATTTTTCCAATTTTAAGAAATAGTCATTTCTCCTCAATAAATTGTACATCCATCCCCAGGAACACGAGTAACCCAAAAAACAGTAGTTTCTCCCTCAAAAGACAAGAATTGTCATGGAAACACATGAATTTCTCTAAACTAGCAAAGTTAATCTTTCCGCTATTTCATTATTTAGGTCCTTTTCAGGCCCAAACCTCTAGCCAATAGAGATATAGCATTTGTAGGTCCATTTTCACGGTGATGAACTTATTCATGGGTGTTGGGCGATATTTAGGTTTTAGGGTGGTTGTGCCCCCTATCCTTTTGCGAGCAGTGCAGGTTAGAAGAGGGGTACTGAACCAGGGACTATTGACAAGTAAATAACAGATACCTATATGTCCATCCGAAATGCAGTCATGCCATCTTCATTTCCAGCTACCTGGAAAAGAAACCAAATGGACATAAACCCAACCAATCATACTCATGTTTCTATAACAAACTTGATCCACCAATATGATCCCAGACGAATGCCATCGATTAAACACAGAGCTGCTTGGACTTTTGCATGCCTTGTTGTTTGCTTATCCCCAAAATCCTGTCCTGCTAACCTAATCCTCAATGATCTCAAATTGAAAAATAGCTATCTACTTATTTCATTGGGGTTTGCAGCATCAGCACTTTGGAAAGTAAACAAATTAATGAGAATAAGAAGTCCAAGAAACAACAATAACACGAGAAATCATCTTAAAATCCATGTCTCCAGATGCATCTTCAGAGCCACGAATGTCAGAAATAATAAGAGGGGTGCCATCACCACCAAAATATCTATGTATCCAACACCATCCCCATTGCTATCCCCGCAGAGTTCTTAATTGGAACACCAGCATCTTGCAAAGCTAAGCAGCTCTCGCAAACAGATGCCATGCTGTCGCATTAGAGAACATTTGAAGAGAAAGGAGCATCAACAATTAAAGGTCCATGAAGGATGAGAAAGTTTATGTGAAAACTAAGCCAACGTGTTTTCAAGTGAATCTGAACTCAAAAATATACTCAAGAACATGGATGCATGTGATGCTTTGAGGAAGATGACAATTAGATCGCCTCAAGGAACCTTTGCTTCCAGTGATGGTACTCCAAACGCGAATGGTAAAAGGGAAGTCATCTTTGGAAGGAAAAACAGGTTCTAGTGCTTTCTCAGCAAGCGTTCCATGACCAATTTTTTGCTAGGAGAGTAAAAGAACACTAAAATCAGAGCAGAATTGTTAAAAGCCTTTTTCAAGTTCTGGACATTTTTTATTATCATGCTGCTTGTTATAAACTCAAAATGACATTGTCAAGCAAAAGACACCAAATTCATTGTCGCGCATACAGATAGGGAGTACAAAAGAAACCAAAGTGCTCATTCTGTAATTTAACATGAAATTTAGCCTAGTGCCAAAACCTGCGTTTAATCAATATCTATACTATCATGACAACTACTATTCAAGTAACAATTCATCAACCTTGCACCTTAGACAAGGAGAGTATGTCAGATGCTTCTTGATTCACTAACACATGCAACAAACATAGGCTTAATCACCCATTTCAAAGATTATTGATGTATTGTGAACTCCATGAACATGTCTACAAAGACCTGAAGTTAGAACCTCTTCAATTCATCGTCAACCACGAGGTTGTCCACCCATTGTGCCATTCGCTTATTACCAAGAGTAACCACTGGTAATGACTGAAAAAACCAAATAAAGGATCTGATAAGTAAAAGCCAAGATAGCACATTATTATTGCCGAAATGGACGATATTATCCCCAGCATCTGTATAGAAATATCAAGATAGACTGTTTTAGTCATATTAGAGTTACTGAAGCTTCTAGTTAATAGATAAGCTCAAAACTGAAACAACAGAAGAATGTTAAACATCTCAGTGGCCATAGGAAAGAGTAAACGGGGAGTTCATTACAGGAAACAGAACAGTTCCACCTCAACAACAAAATATGGACCCAGGTAAAACGGGTTCGATATTTTGGTGCATGTGCATTGCTGCATTGATCATTAGAATGTATCCTACTTAATCTAAACCAGTCAATTTGTAGTAACACTGAATTTGAAAGTACAAGCATTCAGGAGACTAACAGTGCACGAAATTCAAGTCCCAAGAAGGATATATCTCGGTCTGTGCCAATTTTTGTACATGGCACTAGTTCAACAGAAAATCCATCCCAAGATCTCAGAGATGACAGTACATGCAAAAGTAGACTAATAAGGGTGCAGGGAACTGGCACATGAATGAGTGCCTCCAAGAAATATACTAACTAGATCTACCTTTAGCAAGCTGCAGATGGAAGAGCACTCCAAAAGAGAAAAAGAAAGTTCCAGCAAAAGTTAGAGGAAACTGTTTCCATCCAACCAGTAAAAGAGAAGCTACTGGTTCATTTTCATAACAGAAGTATGCATATGGCAAACCTGTGTTTCGCCATGTGTAAAAAGAGCACTTCCATGTGCCCTAGGAAGCAATCCACACCTTGAGTTAATTGGCCTTATTCCATCAGGGGTTCGACCATCACTCCGCTTTCCTCCCTGCATCAAGTCCAGAGAACAAAGGTTTTGATAAGAGAAGAAATCTTTATAAGAGAAATACTGCAATGAAGACTAGCAAACTATATCCTTAGGGGCTAAGTATTTTCCCAATAGGAGAGGTGAACTTAATCATCCTTTACAGTTTATGTCGTTAGAATAAGCTGTTTAATATGTCAAAAGCAATATTATTATCAAATATTCACTGGGGTACAGAAGGACACAGAAGTTGTCTGCGCCTTGCCATCGAGAATACCCATTGAAATGCAAGATATATGGTCCTCATAAGTATCTGAAGATAGAAGTTTGCATTTGTCTGCACATACTAAAGACAAAGGAAAGAAAAAGGAAAAATTAAGCATACTCCCCAGATCTCCTAATAAAATTACTCTTTGCAGGAATGGGAGGACTCATACCTCGACCGTACGTCTCCAGAAGAGCTTTGATGTAACTTCTTTAAACACCAGCTTCACATCGACCTCAGAGAGAAACTAGAAAAGGAAATAGGAAACATAATCACTTCGGTACGACAAGATGCGACACAAACCTCGAGCAAGTTATGCATCAAGTGATTTACATCTCATCAGAGGATACCCCTATTCATTCTTCAGGTGAAGCATTTTCCCCCTGTGAGATTTTGTAGGACCACTGCCAACTGTTCTAAAAACTTAAGTTGTTAGATGAAGGGATGGTTTAATATTTAATTACTCTAACACTCCCTCTCATGCTTAGCCTGGTCTTTTTGCCTAGTACTAAGCGTTGACATATTTAATTGAGGAGCCAAATGAGGTTCGGAAAGATTTAAACTCGGGACCTCCTGGTTCTAATACCACGTGAGATTTGGTAGGACCACTGCCAATTGTTCTAAAAGCTTAAGCTGTTAGATGAAGACGTGGTTTAATATTTAATTACTCTAACACCCCGTTAGACTTAAAATAATGAGGAGAAAACTACCAATTCCACTGAGGTCAATCTGTTTCTGTTAGCCAACGAATCTTGGCTCTTAACAAAAGAATGCTATCAAGAAAAGGCAGAAATCACTCAACTAGATGTTCCAAAGTCATGAACATAATGATACACAGACCACGAACACATCATCCCATCAGAGAGAAAATAGAGCAGACCTCTCTAAGAAATTAACCATAATACTAGTCGAGACTAGTGCCTTCAGAGGCCCAGCGAGAGTGCACTAAGCTCTACTAAGACATCTAGCAGTAGGTCAAAATTTGCAAGTTGATTATGTAAACTTCATATGAGCAACTTGTCTCAACTTTTGCAGAAATTGCAAAAGAATATAGCACGAGAGTTCAAACCTATAACATATACCTGCAATCCAATTTAGAAGAGTACATGGCGATCATCCCTCAAGCATGGATTCAAATACAAGCTGTATGCCTTTTACTTCAGTTTCGCGAACAGAATCCACATCAATGTAATTATTGTCCATAATCAACTTTCAAATTTTATGTACCTCACCATCTTCCAGATTATAAATCTAAAAAATGCTCTTTTATATTGTAAAACATACAAACTTTCATGCAATTCCCACCACACATAAAAGATTTAAGGGACAAACAAATTTAGTTACTTTATTTTACTCTATTTCTGTGTTGCATGCGATAGCAAAAGAGATAAAGGCAATGAAGACTTGATTGCTGAACACTAAAGTAGCTTGCTTGTTCGAAAAATTTGACAGAAACCAAGTTCTCTCTCCTACATCCAGGCTTGAAGACAGTAAATTACAGTATCTGGCCATCCTGTGTCAAAAGGATTTTCAAACATTGATATTTTGGGAGAGATACAAAAATTGCTGAAAATTTCGAAATGTTTGGATTCAATGGCTTTGGTTGCTAATATTAAATAACCAACTGACTCTGACATGAACATCCAAAAAAGATGCACTCTGCACTACAATGACAACCACTAAGCCTTAAAAGCCAGACTCTGCTCTATGGAGAGAAAAAAATGGACTCAATAACAATATAACAAGCGAAGATCACCACTATTCCAATGGCAATGCAAAACCTAAGGGACAGGAAAGCACAAATTGACCAGAGTTTTACCAGGAGTGGATTTTCGTGAGACTGGCTTTATGTGGACATCCCCTTCATCAATTTCTCTGTCAATAACAACTTCTTCCTCCTCATCTTCATCCACTACCATGTCTGGAATCGTTCCAGCAGCAATAAAAGTTGCATCTTTACTATTATATCCCTTTTCTGTAACTACAGTCAGAACCTTGTCCTCTAAAGATGCTAGTGACTTCCTCCTAGGGGCTTTTCCCTTGATCTGCAGCACCTTCAACAATTCATTCCCAGCAAGCAATATCCTGAGTGTTCATAATACAGACAAGTCACATCTCATGATTCTTTGAATCCTCCAAAAGCAGCAAATGAATTTGCATTAATGCTGCTGAAAGACAAGTACTAACAAAAATCAAGGCAGGGAATGAATCTCGCAGAAAAAAAATTGTGTATTACAAAATTCATTTCTTCCCTATCTCTAGTAGGCAGATCTATGTTTCAATGCGCATTTTTCAGAGTAAGATCGAGATGACCACGGGGAAGGACCAACTTGGACTTCTCAAAGTTGTCATTGAGTATAATTTTTTGCTAAGTGAATCCACCAGTTTATAGTTGAGGAAATAAGAGATGAACAAGAGCTGTAAGACCACTTTTCAGGACAAAACAAACAATTGATATAGCAAGGAGCTTGCATCTCCAATGTATCCTGAAATCATCAAGTGGGTCAACAGTGGAACAAAGGTAATCAAACTTGGCAGGTTATCTGAGAATCTCTTTTACAATATAACTTCATAAGTCATTCTTTCTAGCAAACACAATTTTTTTTCAGTTTTAAGTAGTCAGTACATCAGACAATGTTTGTAGCGTCTTCTAGTAAGACAAGTACTTTTTGCCTTGTACTCTTCAATCGAACTATAGCAGCGCGAATGTAATGCTAACAACTAGAGCCAAATCCATAAAAAACTCATCATACAACATGAACATGTCAATTCCAGCCTCCAGGAAAATGACAGTAAACATCAAGTAGAGCTCTAGTGCAATTGAAGAGTTCTATAGTAAATTTACCTCAACATGCTTATATAGCTCAGGAGGGGGTAATTTAATTCCGTCAAGCATTTTGGGCTTCCCACACTTCTTGACCAAAGAATGCACCTCTTTGAAAATTGCTTGCGCAGCTTCCTGATATTGATCAACACAGGGAGAATTATCATCAAAATGTCCGCACCAGTATTGTTTATAGAAAGAATAGCTAAAGTTAACAAAGAAACCAACAAAAGTTTCAGCAAAATGAGAGGTAGTAGAACAAAAAAGTAAATGAGTGCAATTGAGAATTTTCTTCACATATTAAGACAGAAGTAGAGTTAGTCAAATCCAGAGTCTAAGAAGTTGTAAATTGCTTGATCTTTTGAGGAAGAAATATAAGTTAATAGTACAGAATTCAGACATCTCAAACTTAGAAGACACAAATGATATGCAGACAACTATCAAGAAATATAATAAAGAAACTACCTGCCCAGCTTCAACAGCTTGCAGCAACTTCTCTTCCAAGAGAAAATTGCAGTAACCCTGCAATGCATGATCCACTTGGTCAGGGAGTTGAAATCAGAATAACCAAGAGCAGGATTGAACATGTATACAATAACAATACAGAATAACCAAGAGAAGGAATGAATATGTGCGCAATAGCCTTCGAATTCGGCACTTACAAAAGAGCTCTGTTGTACTCAAAGAAGCAGGATTGAACATGTATTCAAAATCCCTTCTTGTATATATTAAGCCATCGGCAAGTGCCAAGTACAAGTGGTACGCAAGCAAGATCAAAAAACTTACACTGCTATTCCAGCTGCTGTGACTGCTAAACTATCAGGGGTATTCAATTCGTCATAGCTCAAAACCCAAAAAAGCAAATCGAAGAAAAAGGTCAAAAGTAGAACGTAAAAAATATGTTCTTCAACATGCCAAGAAACAATCATCGAGAGAGCAACAAGGTGCCCTCGTTTACATCAAGGATTTACTATCAATGATTAAACTGCACATAAGTTCAACTTCAGCCGCTTAAGACCTAGTAAACAATCCCACTAGCAAGATCAGATATCACTGTCTAAGACCATTGACATTACCATTCCATCACCTTATAGGTTTAGGGGGCATTCACTATAGCCATTAAGGAAGAATGAAAGCATCAAACATTACTCTAATAACTAAAGGGAAACTCAAACTAAAATGTTGTCAAGCTTTTTGGCAAGATATTAATTTGCAATATGACTAACTTCATACATCTTATCAAAGCACATGTTACCATCAAGATTGTTACAGCTATATTACGGGCCTATTTTGATTAACCTGTACACAAAGCAATAATGTTGTGAGTAACAGACATTTCCAACATTAACAAGTGTTGCACCCACCCACGTTAATTTTTTTTTTCATTATAAAAATGACTGTTGTATGTAATTTTAAGTTAATCATCTGATCGGTATGGTATGACAAACATTATTGATATAGTCAGAATACTCAAACACAAATTTATAGACTTACTTATCCATAAAAAGAAATTAAACTGCCCAACATCAGATTGTCCTACAACAAAACACAAAAGTATCTCAGATTTATTTGCTAGTAGTAAAAAGTAACCAGTATGACTCAACCAGATTTATTGTGGTTAAATAGTACCTTATTCACACCATTATGTTTGTCAATTTTGTTACTTCTAATAGACGGCATCTTTTTGTTAATGAAATATATATCTTTTCTTACTTTCAAGTGAAGAACAAATTTACCATAAAGCATACGTATCTCCATTAACAAAGGAATTGAGAAGACTTGAGCCGTAAGGGACTCTGTAACCACTTGAATGGATTGAATACAGGGAAACTAACACCATAATTAAAGCAAAGACCCAATTTCGTGATTGGCATTATTGGACACAAAATCCACACAAGTGACAAAAAAATGAAAGTGTATCGCAATCATGGCTTTTTTCATCTAAAACCACAAAAGGAGTTTTCTAGGCCATAATTATCATAATAGACCTTAGACATAGACGAATACATTAAATCAAGTAATACAGCAGGGTCCCATACAGAATTATCAAAAAGCATCTGCAATAGTTCCTTTTAATATAAAAGCGCAATAAAATTAATTTGTTAGAGACTTTGTTGTCATGTCACATCTTAAAAATAACCGCGGATATCTGAAAGCACCCAATACACAGATGTAGAATTATAAGGATCTAAGGCAGAGATCTTGCAGTTGTCGTGGACTGAGGTCACATAATTAAACCAGGAACATACTTTCACAATCAAATAATCTCAATACACTTATATCTAACAACTTACGCAAAGAAAGGTCTTAAAAATGGACATAGTTTATTTAGGTCATGCCTAGAAAAGTTGGTTTATGAGGTAATCATGTGAATTCCTACAATAAAAATATATCAAGAGATATAAGTGACCCAAAAAAAATCAAAAATCAAAATTTAAAAGTGGGTCCTGAGTGTGTTGAACCAAGAACCCGCCAGCCATCAGAAAACCAAGCATGCAATGAGCAATGGGAGAATTATCCATACCCAAGATAGAACTTGAGTTTCATGGTACAAGCCCTTCGGCATTGTCAGACGTAAAGGCCTATCAATCAATCTACAAATAAGAACCTACAAGTAAAGAAAAATAACAAAATAAACAACAGTAATTTCTTTTCAAGAAACACCAAATAAGGACTTCACTTTCCTTCCATATGTTTTTGCTAAATGTTGAAAATGGAGGCAAATCATCGTTGACACACATTTTGTGATGCTTACAACTTCCAAAAAGGTGCAATAATGTCATAAAATAAGGTTATTCCCTGGCCAAATGATAATAGCATGTTCTGTTTGTTCTACCTTGTTGCATACGTGTCTGCTATCAGGAATAAAGCACTAAATTATCCTTCATCATAAACATGACACAATTATAAAAACACATCATGAATGCAGTAGAGATACCAATTGATTCCCCCCCCCCCCCCCACTATTTCGAAAAAAACCTCCACTGAAAGGGGCAAAGAGATTTAAATGCAACTTCACTTACAAGATGCAAAATTAAACTTCTCAACAAAATCGTGGAAACTGTGTCACAAACCTTGCCCGCTGTGCTGCCAAACATCGTTCTTGATAATTTACATTAAGAGGAAAAAAATCAGAAGGCTCTTTTGGAATGTCCACCAAACAAACAGATGTATAAATGATCGACAAGAAGAAGCCTGTAATGTATTAGTTCTCATCATTTAAGACAGTGATCTCTCACCCTTCCCTTAGACATAAACGCAAAATATTAGGAAGAAAGTTCAGTAACTACGTACAGATTGATTCAGGGCCTTCAAGACCGTTCCAAATGCGTGAGTAAAGTTTATAAGGTGTTGTAATTATGGCAATGCTAAAAATTTGACGGTAGTCGTTTCCGGACAATACACCACAAAATTTATAAGAGTTAATAATCTCTTGTCTCTTTCCCCTAATTTTTGCCATTATAACTGTCCTCAATAATATTTTTGTTTCAGCTTATTACTGCCATATTGCCTAATACGTTTCTAACAGTTCTTGTAGGTTGCATTGCTAAGAGATTTTATGAAAGCTTTAGATAAGTTCATTGACATATTACTAGGTAGAAGCATATTCCACAACTTGCAGTCTCCCCATCCATCACCGTAACAGCCCCATTATCTTGTCTCCCCATATGACCAGTCTCAACTAGAATCTGCAAAAATAATGTGACATAATGAACAATCTTGAGCATCTATAATCGAAACTACATGAAACTAGACACAAAAACTCCACAAAAAATATGGTATTCTTTCATAGAAAGGCCCATTAGTTTTCTTCACCTGAACAAAACTCGGAAATGACAGTTGAAGATATATGAAAACATGGAAACAGGACAAGACAACCTAAAAGTTAATTACTATTAATGCAGTGAAACTTCATTAGCATCGAGAGACTTATACTTGTGTGTTTTTGTGAATTTTAAGACAGGGACCCATCTAAGACACAGGTAGAAGACTTATCGTCCTCATAATGAGATATGTGAACGGAAGAGACGTATCTCGTTTTGCTCACATTCGTTGATCCATTAACCCACCATAAATACAACAATCCCCCACATTAATGGATCAACAAAACATTTTGACTCGAGGAATTGTAAGTGTGCTCCTGGAAATACATTGTATCAAGATAGATAGCTTTCACTTTGAACCTTTTTTAGTGAAAGCCTATCGGACATACTTAACCAGTCAGTGGACTAGGCCTTGAACCATCAGTTATTGGTGTAAGCCCAAACAATAGACCTCACACAGAGTTTCTCCGAATCAAGATTGGTTTTCGGTTGCATTCATTCTTTCGGTCCTGACCCTCTCAGAATTCATGCGTGTAGAAAATCTAGCCTTTAAAGATTTTCATAAAGTCGGCCAGCTCCACGCATATAGGTGCATCCCTATTGAAGGTATCCTACCATACCTTACTAGGATGTTGAATTCCTAATTATAGGAATCATTAAACGCATATCGTACCCTTAAAACGCTGTACGAAGTATTGTTGCATCATAGGAGTGGGAGACAGTGCACACACTAAAGTTTCCAAAATTTGCGTTGTCCTATTGAACCTGGTCCATGGGATCTCCAATCGTTAGGTTAGGTTTCCACCCTGGAACCTCTTTATTGAGTTAAGGCTTTTAAACCCATTCCCCTCGATGCGCAATTTACCTGCTCTCTCGACAAATCTTTTGTCAGAGGATTCACAATATTTTTCTTTGACTTCACAAAGTCCAAAGAAATTATTCCATTCGAGAGCAACCGTCTTACGGTATTATGTCTACGACGAATGTGTCTAGACTTACCGTTATATATCATGTTTTGTGCCCTTGCAATTGCTGCTTGATTGCACAATGAATGCATATCGGAGGCATAGGTTTTGGCCACAACGAAACATCCTCTAGAAAATGTCGAAGCCACTCTGCTTGTTCAGCAGCTTTATCCAAAGCAACAAACTCTGATTCCATTGTGGAGCGCGCTATTAGAGTTTGCTTTGAGGATTTCCACGATACCGTGGCACCTCCTAGCGTGAACACATATCCGCTAGTCGATTTCGATTCATCGGAATCCGAAATCCAGTTGGCATCACAGTAGCCTTCCAAAATAGATGGATATTTGCCATATTGCAAAACATAGTCTTTAGTTCTTTGCAAATAATCCAACACTCTCAAAAGAGCATTTCAATGCTCATGACCAAGATTACCTGTATACCGGCTCAGTTTTCCTACTGAGTGCGTAATATCTGGTCTAATGTAGTTCATGATGTACATAATGCTGCCGATCACTTGAGAGTACTCCAGCTGCCTGATACTGTTTTCTATATTCTTTCTTAAAGTTAGGTGTGGAAGAAAATGATTGTTCGTATCTTTAATACCGAACTCTTTAAACCTCTTAATTACCTTTTCAATGTAATAAAATTGTGTTAAACCTAGACGATCAGAATTCCTTAGAATTGTGATGTCGAGTATAACATCCGCAACACCTAAATCTTTCATTTCAAAGTTATTCTTGAAAACATTCTTGGTGATTTGAATAATCTCATCGTTATCTCCAAAAATCAACAAGTCATCAACATATAAACAAATAAGTACACATCCAACGATTGTGGATTTAGTGTATACACATTTGCCACACTCATTGATTTTATATCCATTTTGGATCATCACACGGTCAAATTTCTCATGCCATTATTTAAGAACTTGTTTAAGTCCATACAATGATTTGACAAGTTTACACACTTTGTGTTCTTGTCCTTTGACCTTGAATCCTTCATGTTATTCCATATAAATCTTCTCGACGAGATCACCATTCAAGAATGCAGTTTTCACATCCATTTGATGTACTTGCAAATTATATAGCGAAGCTATAACAATTAACATCCTAACATATGTTATTCTCGTTACAGGTGAATAAGTATCAAAGTAGTCTAGACCCTCTCTTTGTCTAAACCCTTTAGCAACAAGCCTTGCTTTATACTCATCTATGGAACCATCAACTTTACGTTTTTTTTTTAAGATCCATTTACATCTAATTGATTTATTTCCTGATGGAAGATCAACCAATTCTCAAGTGTGATTACTTAGGATAAAATCAATTTCATTGTCAACAGCTTCTTTCCAGTAAGGAGCATCTGGAGTTGACATTGCCTCTTGAAACATTTGAGGCTCACCTTCTGTCATGTATGTCGGAAAATCAGGTCCGAAAGATTTTTCAATCCGCGACCTCTTACTCCTTTGAAGTTCGGCTTGTTCGGCCTTAACTTCTTCATTCTCAGATTCTGGATTTTTATTTCTCTTCTGAGAAGGTTCACCTTGATTTCTTTTCCCGGGATGTACATCCTCAAAGAATTCAGCATCCCTTGATTCTAGGATAGTATTGGCATGGATTTCCACATTTTCAGATTTATGAACCAAAAATCTATAAGCGACGCCGTTTTGAGCATAACCGATGAATATGCAATCCAACATTTTAGGTCCCAACCGAGTTTGTTTAGGAGGAGGAATTGCCACCTTGGAGAGGCACCCCTATACTTTCAAAAAATTGTAGGATGGTAACCTTCCATTCCATAATTCATATGGAGTTTTACCTGTATTCTTGTGAGGCACTTTATTTAAAATGTAGTTTGCAGTTAAAACTGCCTCCCCCCCACAAGTTCTGAAGTAAACCTGAACTTAAGAGCATGGCATTATCCATCTCCTTTAAAGTTCTATTTCTCCGTTCAGCAACTCCATTTTGCTATGGAGTATAAGGTGCACTTGTTTGGAGAATTATTCTCAAACTAGCACACAACTCTTTTAAATTGGAAGAATTATATTCTCTTCATCTGTCAAATCTAAGCACTTTGATTCGTCTATCGAGTTGGTTCTGGACCTCATTTTTTATACTTGATAAACATGCTCATAGCCTCATCTTTACTAGTTAATAAATAAACATAGTAAAATCGAGTACAATCATCTATAAAAATGATGAAGTGCTTCTTTCCACCTCTACTTTCTACAAACTTTAAATCACATAGATCACTATGGATTAGTTGCAGAGGTTCACTCGTTCTTTCAATCGATTTGAAGGATTTCTTAGCAAACTTAGCCTCAACACAAGTCTCACACTTGTAACGAGCATCCAACTCAAACCTTGGAAGTAGCCCCAAGTTTGCTAATTTCTTTATTGTACCATAGTTTACATGTCCTAATCTACCATGCCATAGATAAGGAGACACAACAGTGTAAACTGAAGACTTTTCTTTATTAATAGTCTTTAGGTATAAGAATTTAGAGTTTACATCAATGACAATCACATTGACTTTGAACATGTCATTATACAAGTACCATTTCCCCACATACATTCCCCTTTGAAAAGTACTAACTTGTCATATTCAAATACAATTTTGAAACCCTTCTTGACAAGTATAGGGCTAGAAATGAGATTCTTTCGGATCTCCAGTACATATAGCACATTTTGCAGGATGATTTGCTTTCCGGAAGTGAACTTCAAGATCACTTTTCCTTTTCCGACAATTTTTGCTAATATAGAGTTAGCCATATAAATCATATCATCTTCATCAGCTTTCTCGTAAGACGAGAACATGTGTTTATCCACACAAATGTGATTTGTGACACCTGTGTCCAACCACCAATCGATATTGTTTGACACCAAAAATACCTCAGATACCACCATAGCAGTCAGTTTCTCATTATCTTCCTGCTGCCACTACTTAAAACCCACACTGGTGAATTTCTCCGGTTTCTCATTCGGTGTTACTGGAAGTAGTACCATCAAACTAGGCAAAGCATGTTGAACCATTCCTCCAGAAATTGAACCATAAGCTAGGCCTACACTGTTTTGAAAAACAATCCTAGGTATATCAGTCAAACGACTTGCACCCATACCACCGTAGATGGTTTTAGCCCCGAAGGCTCGCAGCATTTGCTGCCACAACACCAGGCCACGAGATATGAATCTCACCGGTCGAAACGACCATAGGAATGTCTCCAGAAATATTCCGGACATCATTGGGTACTTTATTGTTATCAACTACCTCGATTTTCAGATGAACCCAACAAATGGTAAATTCCAAGCTAATCGCCTTAGGATTGTTGGAAATTTAGATGGACAATGAAAATAAGAGTTTACGTATTGGGGGAAGAAGAATACGTAACATTGTTTGTTGTAATAAAAAAGAACAATAAATCCGAGAAAGTGATAACAAAATAGAACCAGGAGGTGAGGTACGGCTAACCGAATCTCCTTAAGGCGATTAGTTCCTACCAACGGTGCTAAGAAGCTTCACAAACTATGCCTCTCAAGATACCGCACCTCGAACCTGTTTGAATTAGCACTATGCAAATAAGACTTTATCAAACATTTCTTGAAACCAGCACACTTAGAGAAAATGGAAGAGAGGAGATGTAGGTGTTTTTGAACATTGCTTAGAATGAAGAATTTCAACTCTATTTATAGAGTTTTAGAATTCATGTACAAAAACGATACATGAACTAAAAATTAAATAGATACAAGAATCCAGGAGATACATGAATTAAATAGATACATGAATTAAGTAGATACACGAATCCAAGAAATACATGAACTCAAGAGATACATGAACGGAAGAGACGTATCTCGTTTTGCTCACATTCGTTGATCCATTAACCCACCATAAATATAACACTGCAATCGTAATGTGCATTGCACATAAAAAAACATTTAAGTTTGCTTGCAGCAGGTATCTTGTTGTTTGATGCTACTTGTGTCACGTCTATGGTATGTACCCTTTAGTTTAGGTATATGTCAGCATTGAAACTTCTAAATGGTTGTGAATAACTCCTCCACATGGTAATCACAATGGTGGAAATTAGCAAAGACTTTATTTTCCCTTTTCCCCACAAATGTCACTTGGAATTTATTTCTCTGGGTAGGTGAAGTGCTATTGACATAGAGCATGTATCTGAT